AAAAAAAAAAAAAAACCAACGAACTAAGAGGACGAAACACCGTCTACCCAAAGTCCCATCCCTCGCGCCGCCCTCACCGTCTGCGCCACCGCCACCTCGCTTTGTCTGTATAGACGTGGTTGGTGGCTTTTAGATAGCAAAATGAGAGTAGTTTAAACATGTGGTGAGATTCCGGATTTTGATTATTAATTGCGTGATTTGGGTATTTTTTTTTTTTTTGGTTGTTTGAGGGATCAAGATTCATTGAACATTATTGAATTCAACTTAGGAGCATCCAAGCGCATATTGTGATTGGCAAATAGACCATCAACTTTATTAATGGGTGTGACATTATCGATAAACGAATTGAATATCGTGTTCGAAACAGCACCAACGCTTGACTGATGAACATGAGCACATGCAGGTGATAGTACTGAGTTTTCATATCATGGCACTACATAATATTGTTGAGGAGGCTACTGTGGATCCTTCAACAACACCTGGAATATAAGAATTGTATGGGTTATAATGGTACTGTTCGTATCCATATCCCTGGGTTATAATAAACGTACGGCAGACCTTCAGTTATTGCCCCCTACAAGAAAAGGTTTTGATTTACTATCCCAATCTGATAAGATGTTTTTTTTTCTCTGTCTGTGCTTTTCAATTTAACTCATTCTTGACAAATAGTTTGTAAAATTTTGAACCGTGTGCAAAAGGGGTGAAATTTTTGGACTGTGATTTTTTTTTTGGCAGTCGACGCTTTCTCCCTGCTCCTGTTTTGTGGTGACGGATATGTCCTGCGGTGGGGGCGGCCCTCAATCCTGTCGGGGGTGCTTGATACGGTAGCGCCAGTCCAAGAACAACAAGAAACATGTTATTAACTTTTTATCTCCTCATATTTTATCGGCCTCCCTGTAATTGGAACTTTGCAGTTTTGTTTGGTTTATATTTAGTATATTTTCAGTATATTTTTATCCTCTCATATTGTATCGTGTTTGTATTGTTCCCCCTATTATATGTATGGTTTATATTCAGTATATATTCGGTGGTTTATATTTAGTAAAATCATGGAAAACATATACATTACATATACCATCATTATGGTTTGTATTGTAAGTATATACCGACATTATATTTTATATATTCATTATATATACCATAATTATGTTATATTTACTATGATAATTGAAATATGTCCAACACATACACCGACATTTTTTTATGGTATATTTTATGTATATATATATATAGAGATTGGATCACATGAGAATGGTAGATAGGGAAAGAAATAAGAATAAATGTGGACCTTTGGATCTATGTAATTAACGGTCAAGATGCAGGTCAAATATTGTTATTTAAGTTGCCAGGTGTGGTGGTATTACAGTAATTAAAAGAAAGTACGTGGTCTTATGTGAAGAGCTGAGGGCAGGTTTGTATTTTTACCTTAGTTGCGTGTGCTCAGAGGCATTCATTATGACGCCAGTTTTCCCAAGAGAGTAATTGAATGTTAATGTCAAAAATTATGTGGGAGGTGTCTTAATCGATACCAGGGCATCTTTATTTGGCGATTTTTCGGTTAATCGATGAGAACGAAAAACCTTGATCAGTAATCGATTGAGCTGTGATTTTTTTTTTATTTCGAGCATCGTTTACAATTGTTTGAGACTTTTTTTCATTCACAAATCACATTGTACGAGTTAGGGTTTATCGATCGGGTTAAATACACTATGGGAAACTCTCCTCAGTCAAAAAATCGAAAACCAGGTATATTGTTGTTCAATTTATACAGTTTATGGATGTTTCAATTTTAAATGAAGTTGATTTTCTGTTTCTCAAGTATTTTTTATGGAATTTTCTAGTTTTTTAATGCCATTTAAAATCGATTTTTCCAGTGATTTTTAAGAATTTTTCCAGTGTTTCTCATTATCTAAGTATCTCGACATTGATCTAACTTTCGTGTGTCCAGTGTTCATTCACTAGGCACAGGGCATGTGCTCTTTTTACGGTGTTGTTTTCTTTTTCTGTTATTTATTGCAGTGCTTTATTATGTGCACAAGGTGTTCTTGTGTAATGGCCATCGTTGCAAAACAGTATATACCTCAGTATTTTTTTTATTTTGATGTGACTTGTTATCAACTGAAGCTAACGTTTATTGTTGCTGTGACTACAATTTGTAGGTGGTAATAGTAAAAAAAAGGGTTCTGTCACTACAAAACGTGGGGCTGTTGAAAAAAATCAGGATAGTGGTATGTATTATGTATGAATTTTGTATGATTCTGTATTTTTATTTATTTATTTATTTATTTTTGTATGATTCTGTATGAATTATGTATAACAATGTCGTGTGTTATATGTTTTCTGTAGGTGGTTCCAGTAAACCGAAAGAGTCTATGCGTTCAACGAGTGACCCACCTGGTCAAACTAAGGGGGATGGTAAGTATATACCGCAATCCCTCAAGTGTTAGTTTCTTATCGCATAAGATGTCGTTAGAATGAGTAGTTAGCATTAGTAGTTGGAATAAGTATATACGTGTGGTTTCTCAAAATTTGTGTTATATGTTTTTGTAGGTGGAACTTGTAAACTGAACGAGTCTAAAGTGTCAATTCGCGACGATCAAGCTAATAAGAAGGATGGTAAGTATAGACGTTAGTTTCGCAAAATTTTAGTTTCTGATCATATAAAATATTGTTGGAATGAATAGTTATCAATTTACAGGTGATACTTGTATTTTGTGCATTTATTATAATGGATTTGTGCATTCTTTGGTGTATAGGTGTGCATTCTTGTAGTTTATATGGTCTTGTGCAATTTGCAGTTTATAGGTATGACATTAGTGTAGTTTATACGCTCACATAACTTGTACACACTTCAGTGTGTATAATAAGATTTATTATCATTCGCACACCAGTTGAAGAGTCGTATATTTGGTTCGTAGTAGAAAACATATAATTTATATTGTTAATATGATAATTTAGTTTTTTTCCTGTCATTTTTCTTACTTATTGCATATATGAATGCATGTATTGTAATATTATTAAACTGTTAGCTAATACTATTGGTTCTAGGTAAGAGAAAGGCCGATTATGTTGTGCGTGACGTGACCCGATCGAAGCGTGCGAATATGATTGCATCAACATCGAACCAACATGATAGCAGTGACGAGTTCGTGGATGAACGCCCTCGCACTCGCGTAAAGCCGACCATCAATCATAAGAGTATGATTATGTACTTGTCAGCTTATTATTGTATACACAATTATGTCACAATTTATATTTTTTTTGTTTTTTATTTCTTATGATTTCGTATTTGTAACAGGTAAATGTAAAGATTCTGTTGATCATGGACATACTGTCGTTCAAGAACCAGATAACAAGCTGGTCGTATATGAATCTGATAGTGACGACGTTGTCTTCCCTGTTGTGAATACGAGATCGTCAGCATCCATGTTTGTGAAGGTCGTGTTTGGACTGTCTGATGCACATAAACATGCAGTTTGCGAGATGGGCTTTGGATCCCTATTAGACTTGAAGATAACGTCATTGCCATTGAAAATGGGGTTCTGGTTGGTGGAAAACTTCAACTATATGGACCGCAAACTGCGGCTATACGACGGTGAAAAGATACATGTGAGGGAGGAGGATGTGGATTCTGTTTTAGGACTTCCTCGTGGCTCACTTCAGATATCGAACAAAAAAAAGAGGGCGGAGTCAGCCATACTTAGTCAGTGGATTAACCTATTTGATGTTAGAAGCTTAACCAATATCACAACAGCTAAGGTGCTCGAGAAGTTTCATGAATGTGCAGACGGCGGCGATTGGTTTAAGAGGCACTTCATTGTTCTGATGGTGACGTGCTTGTTTGATAGCTGTCAAAACGGGATGGTGAATTCTCGTATTGTGCACTTGCTCGACGATGTATCAAAGGTTTCTGATATGAACTGGTGCTCGTTTATGATCAGTTGTCTTGTGAACACAAGAAAAACATGGGGTGGTACTGACAAAAAGAATAAATATACAGGCCTGTTGATGTTTCTGACGGTTAGTATCAACGTTTTTGTTTAGTTTTATATATATATATATATATATATATATATTAAGTTATGTGAACGTGTTGGTTTTTTTTATGTAGTTGTTCTATGTGGATAAAGTTGTGTTGTCGATGAGGTCAGTTCTAAGATCGTTCCCCACGTTTAAAGCATGGAGTAATGATCTTTTGAGGGACAGGGAACGTGCCGAGATAGAGTCTGGTACATTTGGTAGAGGATTCGTGGATGTGGACGCATGTGCCATGGAAGATGATTGTCGTCCATACATAGTCGAAACAAATGCAGATGGCGAGCCGACGACTAGGTGTGAGGCTGAAAACGATGTCTAGGTATGCGTGAATTTGGTTATTAAAGGTTTGCCTGATTGTCTGTGATGATATCTGTGTGTGTGCAAACATAGTGGTGTGAGACTATTTGAATTTCGATATGTGTAACCGCCGTGTTGCGATATTGCTAGACTTTGATATTGTCGACATGTGTGTGTTGTTATTTTTTGTTGACATATTTTCATTCGTTGTATGATAATATAATGTTCATCTGATGATTATATAATGTTCAGTCTATTATTATATAAAGTTCATTTGATTGTGAACACATATTTAATATATGTTAATTTGGTTGTGTAAACGTATTTGTTCTTATTGGGAGGTATTTCTTCAAGAATTTGCATCTAAAACCCAGATTTTTGCAAATACCGGCATTGAGATATTACGACTCGCTGAGAAGGCTCCACAGGTTCTGTTTGACGATGAAAACTTTATGAAGATGCAATATGCCACACATAAACTTCTCGGTGTTTCAGGTGACTATTCGAATCAGGAGTCTAAAATAAATAATAGTCAGTACACGAAGACGCAGCATGTGTCCCCTGATATGGATCCAAACCAAGTGGACCCTACGCAAAAGGAAGACGTGAACAAAGATTTTGTAAAGGATATACCTGATTTTGATGATTTTGATGTTCGCCACCATCGATCGGGGGAATTGGGTAGTGGCATTAATGAACAGCAAGCTGATGGAGTAGTTGTTGGAGGATCATCGGGGGTAGATATACCTACAGGTAATGTTCAACGTACGTTAAAATTGACGTTTGTGTGTGATTAAGGTTTTTATTTATATTGGTTTTGTGGGCGTTTTAATGTTTAATATTTCGTCACAGTTGAAATTGCTGTTGATAAGAATGTCGGTGTTGATGATGCGGGTGTCGGTGGTGTACAAGGTACGTATACTACTATTCGTGCAATGTTTTTGTTTTGTTTGTTTTTTATTGTTTGTATACATATTAATGCGTAATGTATCTCGTTACGTATGTAAGTGTTCTGTATTTGGCATATACTTCTTGTATTATATCGTTTAGTGTATTGTCATGGTGTAGATGAGGTTGTTGTTTCCGAATATACTGATGGTGGTGAGAGTGGCAGTGCGGATGAGATCGACGTAAGCCAAGGTATATGTGAGCATTTCATTTAATTAATTAGTCAATTTGCACTCAGTTATTTTTGTAGTTTATTGTGCTTTGTCCATACATCATGAGTTCATGTGTAGGTGTCGGGAGCGACGATGGATTGGATTGCAATACGAGGCCAAAACGGCTAACCAATACGACTAGTGCAAACAAGTCACCATATAAGAAGAGGGTGATTGGTGTGACAAAGAAATTAGATGCACTAGAGAAGATGGTAGTTAACTGGGTTATGAAGAATCACTTAACTTACGAGTAAGCTTCTAACTGGCGTTGATAATTATGTTTTGTAAATTGTAATTACTCGAACATTAATCATAATATTATTTTTTTAATTTTAATATATTGCGAGTAGTAAATATTGTTCTGAATGATTATGTTTTACGAATGTTGATATTTAGGCGAAATGAGACAATAATGTTCCAGTCGTTTGGATATTCTGTCCCGAGGTCGGTTGTTGCGAGTTTGATTCCCAATGAACATATTTCTGAGGCGATGCTAGACTTGTGGGCCTGTGTTCTTAATCACAATGAGAGATTCAAGAGTCGCGGTTCAACGAAATGTTTCTATGCGACTACGTCTCCATGCAACTAGGTAGTATGCGCAACGAATAATGTCAAAGTGTGTGTACAGGTTGTTGATTTCATATAATAACGGTTGTAATGTGCAATGTTGTGCACGTTTGTAGTTGTTTGTTGAGGGCAAGCAGAGGAAGGACGTTGCCTATAACAAGTTTGCAGAATGTATTGATGCCGAGATTGTGCGGATGTCCCGATATCAGTTGGACCAAATGTCACTGGTGAGTTAATATTATTATTACTATTATTATTATTAATATTCCTGTTGAGTTTGCCAATTGATTTTATACTATTTGCCCTCGATCCAATTTCTTTTATAAGGTGAAATGACGTGTATGATAATTGTTAATTTATTTTCCAATTTAGTTTTTGTTCTCTGTACACTCGAATGCATTTTCTGGCGTGTTGTGCATTGCACCGACTGCACGAAAGCTCAAAGTGTTAGTTCTGGACAGTGCTTGTTTTTGTAAAAAAGTTGTTGTTAAGAGAAAGGTTACGACACACGTCGAGCTGCTTGTAAGTATAACTATTCGTGTGTGCTCTTTCGTGTTACGTTATGAATGTATGCTGACAATGATCCGTGTTGTTTATGCAGAAGCTATCGTTCTCAAAATACCTAAGCGAGAGGAAAATGGGGAGGTTCTCGAAGTTAGTTGCTATGGCGAAGCCGGAAATTGTCAATCCAACATGGACAGAGGGGGTCGATATGGTAGATAGCGGGGTAGTCACCATGCGTCACATGGAGACATTTAAGGGGGATGCTTTGAAAGGCTGGAAACCTGAAATAAAGAAGGTGGATAAGGTGCAGATGAAGCTGATGAGGAAGCGTTATTGCTACGACGTAGCATGCGCTCCCAACAACACTCTGAAGGAGGACAACGTAGTTGCGGCTAAGAAATTTCACCCTATGTACTTGAAGAAGAAACATGAGCGCGATGTTGCTCATTGAGTGAATGGTTTGTATGAGAATTAGTGGGCTCTCTAGGGACATGGTATTGTCGCCTACGACTAAGTATGTCGTGTTTTCTTTTGTTTTAGGACGTCGTATCGTTTTTCATGTTCAGACTATTGTGGTGTCTGGTGTTTTTTCTTATGTCGTGTTTTGAGGTTTAGACATATTTCTGGCCGATGACTGTTTTTGTGGGTTTTTGTGGCATGAACATTGAAATGGATTTGCGGTCATAAATATATTATGCTGACCGGTGTTACATGTTTCGGCATTTGATGTCTTCAGCTCCATATATAGTTTTGTTTATGTATGTTGTTATTTGTTTGTTTTTTTTTTTTTTTTTTTTTTTTTTTTTTTTTTTTTTTTTTTTTTTGTTTTTTTTTTTGTTTTTTGTTTTTTATTTTTTTGTGTTTGTTTGTTTTGTTTGTTTTGTTTTTTGTTTTTGTGCCTCTTAATGTGCATGTTATTCTCAACTATTTTGATGCAAAATATAGATTAATGTGCAATATACAAGTGTGCGGGGCAAACTGGTAATTGCATTATACATAGTATCCCCAAGCTCGACATTAAATCCAAAATTACACACCATTCTCCCAGCTCTAGTTCGACGTCAATTCCCAATCTCAAAGCTCGACGAAACTCGAAAATCAAAATTGGAATCCCATCCTCCAAGCTCGACGACAAAATCCTAAAACTCGAATCTCAAAATCGAACTCCCAAAAATCGAAATCCAAAAAACTCGTGAATCTGCATCCGCATCGTGATCAACCTCAGTTAGGGCAAAAATTGAAATCGAGGTATGTACGTTATACAAATTTATGGCTTTAATTCAACCTATACGTCGGGTTTAAGACCTTTCGATTTGTGAATATATGACGCGATTTGCCCCGTTCATATTTTTTTTTTTTTTACAAATTGAAAATTTCAGGCACCTTATAGAACATACGCTGAACTGATTTCATACGATTGCACCGCACAAGATGATGGAATCGAATGTTTCTCAGACAGGTATGGACCAATGTCTTTCTTTTATACTGCACATATAATCAATGAGTCATAGTACGTGTAATGTGAAATATATTCGATGATTTGTACAAGATTCTGAACATTGTTGTGCAATTAATACAGTGGGGTGCACGGCCAATAAAGTTATTGTATACCCCTGCTGTGTCTGACCCTTGTACGTGTTTATGTGTTAGACACATATCTTATGTTAGATTTCTATATGTGTTTGAGTGTTTGATAACTAACTTATGTGTTTGACATATTGTGTTTATATGTTTCATCTGATATATTCCCTCTTCTTATATTAATTCTATAATGCAATTAATGTGCAATATACAAGTGTGCCATGGATGCGCAACGAAACACATCAATGAAGTTGCAAGCGGACAGTGAAACACACTTAGCTAACTTGAAAACTCCATTGGCTATTGAAAGGCATGCACTGAATGTATATACCACTACCATCTTCTATCTTGTTCAGGATGAAATATGTGCAGCATGTTTCCATTGTCGCGTTATGAACTTCTCAGATGACGATGGACAGATGAAATTCGAAATCAGAGATGCTGATGGCAAGATATTCACTGTGTTATACAACGCGAGTCTGAAATCAGCCACCTGCTCATGCAAGCATTTTGAAATGTATGGGTGGCCATGCAGACACATATTCGTTGTATTGAAGGACGTGAACGTTGAAGTTATACCGAGTGCACATATTATATCAAGATGGACGAAACTAGCCATTTTGAACCCAATTTTCTGCATTGTTGATGGTATAACTGAACAATGTGTTCAAATTGATGATAGAAAATTCATGGAGAATAAATTGTGGTCTGACATACATATATGCATGGGTTTGGTCGAGCCATCCATGGACCGCCTTGTCAAGTTTTCAAGACTTATGGTAAACCACAAGAACAAGTTGATGACTGAACATGAGGATGTTCCAACCGGGACAAAAGAGCGTCGATTTGAAACGTTTGTCAGCACGTCTATCCCTCCGGAGGTGAACATACACCCTCCAGCCAAATCAAAGAACAAAGGCAGCGGGAAAAGGATGAAAAGCGGAAAGGAGGAAGCAATCGAAAAATCCATAAAAAAGAGACGTATATGCAAGACATGCGGTGAGAGGGCAGGTCACAATGCCCGGACGTGTCTCAAGCAACAATGATGGTATGATTCGTAATACATTCCCGTACTACCAAAAACTATGTTCGTGCAGCATTCTGATATTTTTTAGTTAATTAATCATTATTTTTTTTTTTTTAAATAAACATCCCAGATTGGGATGGGGGATTGAGGATACACCCCCGACCTGTGAATATAATGGCCCAG